CGAACTGCAAGTTTTCCAGAGGGATGACTCAGGGTATTTCTGTTGGTATTGTTTTCATAACCACTGAGTTTCTTCAGAACTTCTGTAGGGGAGAAAATTGTTTATAGCTGTGGGGCTGAACAAATGACAGATTTTAAACCCATACCTAGGTCTTTCTCCAGGTTGGCCTAAAGTGCCACACATCTGACAGAATGATACCATGCATGAACTCAGGACCTTATTTGTCTAGCCTGCCTGAAGCTTCCACTTAAGTCACTTTGGAGTATTAGGATAGAAACCATAGTTAACAAATCATGCAGTCTATAAAAAATATATCATTTTTTGAGGATGCTGCATAGTTACTGAATTCAAGGCTAATCTGGTTGTAACATTTTTCCAGCTGAAGCTCTGCTGGTGATTTATAGAGATTACTAATTAGTTGAGTTATCATGTTGGTGTTCATCTATAAGACCTTCTGGTGTGTTTGATTGCTTTAGTTACCTGGTAAATGGAGTGTGTTTGATTGCTAAAGTTACCTGGTAAATTGAGTGTTTAAAGACGTGTTGAAGTCACCCAATACACAGAAGAGTAATGCAAAATAAATTGTGCTGGGCTACGTTTCTAAGTTGTAACAGCAGATATCTAACTGTATATTTGATTTTCAATTGTGGAATGCAGATCAGTTTCCTACATGTGTAAAACGTTTCAGAATCTGAGGAGAAAAATGTTATTTTGTTATATATGGTTTTCAGGGAAAACCTTCAGGACAAATACAGACAATAAAAGTGTTTTTCTTGATTTACAAATCGTGGATTTGGAATCTTTAGTTTGGTTAATACCAAATCATTTCATATTGTGACGATGGTTTATTTTTATAAGTAAGTGAAGACTTGGTGTTTTTTCTATTCTTGCTGGAAAAAAGACTTCAAGCCTCCCCTGAGTTCGACAGCACTGTCTGAACTATAACTCTCGGGCTTTAATGTTTAGCAAAAACAAGAAAAAGATTGCTTCACCTCTTTTAAGGTGTTATAGGAATTGTGAGTCCTCAGGGACATGAATAGTTGGGTCTAATGTGGGGAATGCTTCAAGGGCTGAAGAATGATTTGAGGGGATATAGTAGTCTCTCAACTTGGGTTCAATATTAAAGCCTGCAGTAATTGGGGTGGGGGGTACCTTTTCACTTTAATCTGGGTCCACTGTCTGGTCTCAGATTTATTTCTTATCTCCTTTCCCAAATCTGTGCTACATCCCCCTAAAACCACTCTGGTCTGTTGACCTCTGCTGTAGTTTTCAGCTGTATAGGTGATTCATAATGAGAGAACCTGGGGATTCTGTTCCCTGAATGTTCTTGTAAAGAGCATTTTTTTGGAAGAGTTTAATGTAATCTCCCATGCTTAGCCATGAGAGGATTTTTGTTCACAGATGTCATAAAATAGAGGTCTTTTCTTGAATGACTAGACCACTTAGTTTCTCAGCAGCTAGGCTTGCCAGGGAACACACCAGACACAGCATACCTATGACATAGCTCAGGCAAGGACCAGAGCTTCAGTGCAATGCCCGTGCCTGTACTCCAGTAGAGGTTTTTCATTCATAGGTTAGCTGTTTCTGCAGAAATCTGGTCAAAGATTACACAGCTGCACTTGGTCAGAGCTGATCTTGAACAGAGGCAGCTAAACCCCTGGGAGCAGAGGAAGAGTTTGCAGAGAATTTCAGAGAACGATGTTTATTGCCTGGTCAGTATTTAGTCTATTGGAGCATTCAAGACCCTGGCAACTAATAATCAGCATCACAGTTTATTCCCTGGAAGAGAAATGATGATGCTAGTTCCTTCATTTTCAGTCTGCATCTGCTTGAGCTTGTTTTTTATATGTTTCCAAAAGCTTTGTTGCTACATTCGCTTTGTTATTGGTGCCCATGTTTATTTCCACAGTGGCCCCTTAATTTTGTTAGGTCTTTGTTGTATGTGGCATAATTTCTTTCTGGTAAAGCCACAAATTGCACAAAACTAAGCTGAAGCTAAAAACCAAGTAGGCAACAGCTAGCAATTGGACAGTTGGGCAGTTTATCGTTACAGCTAAAACAAGCTCAAGCCATTTCTAAATGAGGTGTGTCAACTCCTGAACCATCACATTATTGAGTTAATAGAAAGCCTTGTGGCCTGTTATTTGCAGTAGAAATAATGCACACATCGAAGAGGTGGAAGTATGGAGAGGTAACAAAAGAGGAATATAAAGGCACTGAGAGAATACTTAGTAGAAAATCAGGAAGACCAAAGCCCACCTGGAGCTAAGACTAGCAGAGGTTATACAGGACCACAAGGAGAGGTTCCACAGCTACACCAGTGGCATAAGGAAGTTCAGGGAAAATATGGGTGTTGGATGGGGGGTATCAACTAGTGGCAGACAATGCAAAAAAGAATCAAGTTCTCAACATGGTCTTTTTGTTTGTTTGTTTTTTTCCCTAATCTCAGGCAAAACGTACTTCCAAACCAGCATATTCTGATATGGTTTCAAAGGGCAGCTCATGTGGGAGCTGTGAGCTCCTTAGAATTGACCAATGTGATCGTGAGGCTGTGGTCTGTCCTCTGAAAATCCATGGTGATAGGTGATGTCCCTGATGATTGAAAAAGAGCTGGATTATTCCCTTAATTTAAAAATGCTAGAAACAAGATATATGGAGCAGTAGGACGGGTCTCCCCTCAATTACTGGTAGGATCCTGGAGCACATCCTCTTGCAGTCAATTTCCGAGCACATGAGGGTCAAGTTAATTAGAAGCAGTCACATGGATTCACTGAGGACATATCGTGATTGACTAACCTGACTGCCTTCTACTGGTTAAGCAGATCATGGGGGTGAAGTGGATGTAATATACCATGATTTAGTAAGGCTTTCGTCACTGCTAATTGTCATATTACAGTTGGAAGCTAAGGCAGCATGGGCTTGATAACAGACTGTTGCCTGGGTTGGAAACTTGGCTGGACCATCAGTCTCAAAGGATAGCTGCCAGCTGTGCAGCCAGCCTTACCTGACCAGGAATTAATTGATTACAGCGTTTCATGAAGTGTGGAGGGGTGCATTACATATGTGACATGAAGTTTCTCATTGCACTTCATAGAGGGCAGCATGGTTTCCTAGTGTAAAATGTAAATTGGTATTCTAATTTGTATAGCAACTGGAGCAATTATGAGAAGCAAACTGCTTGACTTTTTGAGCATAAATCCACTGCCACATAGCATAGCTTAATATTCTAGTACTAATATGTACTATTTATAAAAATGCTAATCTAATGCTATATAAGAACAACAACAAAAAAAAAAAAGGAAATGAAAGAACGACCGAACCTCTCCACAATATGCAATCCTAAGAAAAATGATTTATAAAGCTTTAATGTGGATACTAAAAACTATTAAAATGTAACATACTGAGAGACTATCTTAAATTTGCAGAAACTGCCTAGTTTAAATATTTTAATGAAAACAAAGTTGTCTTTTTGACTACAGAACATTAACTTGTCCTAGGGAGATTTTCAATAATAGAGACAGCACACAGGCAACTGGCTTAGACAATGAAAGACTAATATTGGCTTTTATGCATCAGAAGTTTCCAGTCTTCATTTTTTTCCTTATACATTAGTAGACCTGACATGATGATGATCTAATATTCTGTGATCTGCAGTGAAATTACTAAATGTTTTCTCTGAGAAATATTTTTTTTTTACTGTGGTCTTTATATAACTAAGGCCACACTTGTCTTGTAAAATGTATTCTGAATTTGTTAATCTGTTTAATTTATAATGTTAATTTTCTAATTTAGTTGTCACTGGTGATCTATAAATAATGTTTGCTTGTTTGTAATCACAGTAAGATAGCTACGTACTCAAGTTGTCTTTAGAATTGGTTGTACGTGCTGTTGTTTCCTCTCTCTAGAAATATTTACTATAATTCTAATTTCATTCTTTTCAGAGGAAGAGAAGTCTAGTCTTAGAAGCAATTTCATAAATGCAGCCATTCAGTGTAGTATTTCCAGTTCTTACATGTCCTGAAAAATAATTTCCTTAATGGTATATAAATTTAGTTGAACTTTAATGTTACCAAGACTTCATTTACCTGAAGAGGAAGCAAATAATATTTTAATATACTAACTCAAATATTGTAGGTACCATACAGATATGTTTGCCTGCTGTTCAGCTGATTAAACATTTTTTTTTCAACATTAAGAATGAATTTGCCATCCCACAGACTAATCAGTCAGGTTAGAAAATAATAGTAAAATGAATACATTGCTCCTATTACCCTTCTTTTTTTTCCTTTTTTAGACCTGGTTCCATATGTCTCCAAAAAACTGCATTTTATTAAAAACTGTTAAAAATTATAAGTAAATCCATTTCACCTATGCTTTGTTATGTACCACTATTTCCTTTTGGAAGATGTAACATACTAGATTTTCAGCTATTTATTTTCTTTATCCTAAATAGTAAGCAAATCACTGCAATGCTAATATTCTGATGCACTTTTAAGGATCCCATTGTGCCAGCCATTTCTGCCTACTGTAAACTAAAGACAGCACATTTGACCAAAAATCTCCTTTTTTATTCCCATGAACTTCATACTTCAGCAATGGGTGAAGTGGCCGACACTCCCGGGGGCTGTGCTGCCATTCAGAGAGACCTAGACAGGTTGCAGGGTTGAGCAGAGAGGAATCGCATGAGGTTCAGCAAAGGCAAGTGCAGGGAGTTGCCCTGCAGCTTGGGAGGAATAACCTCAGACACCAGGACAGATTAGGGGGTTGACCTGCTGGAAAGCAGCTCTGTGGATAGGGGTTTGGGAGTCCTGGTTGACAACAGGTTAGCTATGGGTCAGCAGTGTGCCCTCGTGGCCAAGAAGGCCAATGGGATCCTGGCCTGCATGAGGAGGAGCGTTGCCAGCAGGTCGAGGGAGGGGATCCTGCCCCTCTGCTCAGCTCAGGTGAGGCTGCGCCTGGAGTATTGGGTGCAGTTCTGGGCTCCCCAGTACAAGGGGGACATGGAGCTTCTAGAGAGGGGGCAGTGTGGAGCGGCAAAGATGGGAGTGGAGCATTTGGCGTATGAAGAAAGACTAAGCGAGCTGGGCCTGTTTAGCCTGGAGAAGATCGAGAGGAGAAATATCTGCGGGGAGAATGTAAACACTCTTTGCCATGGTGGCCAGTGACAGGACAAGAGGTAATGGGTATGAATTAAAACACAGGAAGTTCCATCTCCATGTGAGGAAGAACTTCTTTCCTGTGAGGGTGACAGAGCCCTGGAACAGGCTGCCCAGAGAGGCTGTGGGATCTTCTTTCCTGGAAATCTTCCCAATCTGCCTGGATGCCACCCTGTGCCACGTGCTCTAGGTGTCCTTGCTAGAGCAGGGGGATTGGACTAGATGATCTCTGAAGGTCCCTTCCAACCTCAGCCATTATGTGATTTTGATTGCTGTGAATACACCTTTCCTACCAAGAAATGCATGAAGTCGGTCTTTTGTTAGATCTTATGGTATTTTTATATAATTTTGCTTATATCCGTTTGTTAATGAGATGTCTGAAACTGAACATAATATTTCAAGATCATTGAAGACTCTTATTTACAAAGATCCTCCTACTCATGTAGTGATGCTTTACACTTTATTTATGTGTTTTGGCATGAGGTATCTATCTTTGTCCTTGGATTTCTTGTAGCAGAGGAATTACACACTTGGGGAAGCATGATCTAAGTAGGAATGATGGAATTATCACTTCAGAGATGACTGCAGCAACCTACTATGTGATTTACTTCTGCATTTTAGTCTGAGATATAAGTCAGTCTTAACTTAGTCCTCAAAGGGAGAGTAACAGGCTAATAATTCCAAATATATATGCATTTTTTTTTTCTCAAAAACAATCCAGAGAATAGAAAATGATCATAATGTTAGTGAGTAATTCAATTTTTGAATCCGTCTCAAAACAGAACTTGAAACTTAAGTTTAATAATGAAAAGAAAACATTATTTTAGCACAGAAGCATGCTCCTGGAATGCAACAACATTTGTAGAAGTTTCTTAATTCTCTAAAGATTTAATAAAAGTCAGCTGTTTCTTACTTTCAAGTAACATTCCATAGGCAGTTTCTGCACTATATGTGAATTAAAGTAATACAGAATTAAAATAGAAATTGAGAATAGAAAACAGAATTAATTGGGAAACATCATGGCTGTGCCGTTCCTGATGTTACCACTTGCATTTCTGAAGCTTTCTGAAACCCAAGAGCATTACTCCTAAGAAATGCTTCTTCATGTGTATTTTGAATCATATTGTAACTTGAACAATGTTTCGTCTTGAGTAAGTATGGAATAAGTAAAACCACACACCACCTGATAATTTATGAGGAAGTGATGAAACCTCGGGCCTCCTAAAACCTAATGAATTTTCTTATGGAATTTAATAACAATGCTTTTCTGTTATTGTTTTTGTTTTAATCCGGGATTTATATATGTATCTGTGGCAATGCTCCTGGGAGCAATATTTATCTGACACATGAGAATTTTTTCCCAATTTGAGCCAAAGATCAGAGTATGCCAATTCTTACTACAGGTCATGTAGCGGCCATTTGTCAGCTATTTTAAGTTGAATGTTGTTCTTGTGTAAACCCCACTGTGTGATTCTTCTAATAAGGCTTTATGGATATAGCTGAACAGATATGTAATTGATAATACCAAATCCTCGGTGTAGGTCTGACCACAGAGTGCACCTGTGTAAGAGTTGTCTGTAAATATTAGTAGTTAGTTAGTACCTGGAATGCTTTACTTTCTTTGACATGGATAATTAAATTAATGTGTTCAGTGAACCAAATGTATTTCCATCTTTCAGGAAAAAAAGTGCTACTGATTTTTTTTTACAGAATATTTACCTCAATGACTGAAAGCTATGGACAAATAAAAGATGAAAGTTAGAAATTGGGTAAAGGAGGTTAATTGGTTCTTCTCTAGAATCCAGTGTTATCTGCATTATCAAAACAGACATTTGCATCAGTATTTGAAATGGCTTTTGATAATGGTTCACCCACAGTCACATTAAATAGGTGGTTCATGTTAAGGATTGTTAAAACTTACTGTAATTCCAAGATAGGGTTGCATGCTAGTAGCCCAACCATCTCATTTCTGTCCTGAGATTTCCAGGCTGAGATTGCTACTTGCTTAAAAAAGTGTAATGAACTGTTTAAGAAACTGCTTTCTGCAGCTTTATTAAGTTATTTAATTGAACTAAGTTTGCTACTGCTACTAGCAGTTATATTTCCTTCAGCCAAAATGTTGGACATAAATATCAGGGCAGTTACATTAGACAATGTGGAAGCAATGGGAAAGTGAAGATATTACTATTTTTTAATCAATTTTGAATGGGGATAATCAATTTAGAATAAAATTGATGAGATTACTTTGTGTTGATTTTGTCATAATTGCAACCATATTTTAGCCAGCAAGGAAGAAGATAAAGCGCAATTTTTATGTATGCTTCCTGTCTGATAAATGCATTTTTGAAGCATTGTGAAGCATAACATGAAGCATTTTAATTTTATATAGTGGAATTTACAGAAAAAAAATAGCAATTTGTTGGATAGGTCTGTCAAAATATATATTTTTTGCTAAATAAATAAATTACATATATACTAATCTCTTCAAAACCCTTCCAATAAGATAAGTATACAGTATTCAGGGTGTTCTTCCATCATGGAGGAAAAATAGAAAAGAGTTCCTCCAGACTAACTAGGGAAAGCTTTCACAGCAGCCTGGGAAATATAGTTGTCATAATGGTATACTAAGGTAGGATGTAGACTTATGCACTCAGCTTCTGATATTTGTAAAAGGTCTCCTTAATCTTTAAATAGTCCCCTGTAGATTGCAAATTTCATTTAAAACCTTTTACACTAATTTAGTTTCCAAATCCTGAAAATTGTTCCTGAGGTGAAAGAATTCTGACACTGTTTCTGCCCCCTCAAAAGGGGCAGAAAGGTTGGTGTTTCCAGGAGAGCTTTTTCTCACCTTACTCGACCTCTTAGTTCATTTTTCTGTCCCTCCAACTGAATTTAATTTTGTTCTCTAACCCCACATGGCAATCTTTCCCAAACTGTCTGATGCATGCATATGTATCCTATCTTATTCTCAGCAGTTCATCATTCAGTGCTACTGCCCTTTAATATGACATATTAATCAGCAGTGATCTATCTGTTGGGCTCAGGTTCTTGGAGTCGACTGCTACACATATTTCCTACAAGATATATCCTACAATCTGATTGTTGAATCTTCTAGCTAGAGACCTTTGGCTGCTTGGACAGCACCAAAACCGTTTTACATAATGATAAACTTTCCCACCACTTTCTCATGTCTCACTTTCCATTTATCTACAACATTGATATTAAGCAGTGAAAACCATCAGAATAATCCAAATCCTCGGTCTTCATGAAATAATCTGTTGGTTGATTGAATAACTTGTCATCAGGAAAGCAGTAGTTATTATTATCTGCCACTGTTACAGTAGCGCTGGTTCTGACATCCTGTTTCCAAGATTTCTTTTACACATTTCATAATATTATGTTTTTTCCAACTATTTTATTTTTGGTATCTAGTAAATAGATTTTTTGTGACTCTGCTGTTATTTAACTGAAAAGATTCAGTCTTTCTTTTTTTAATGGTTTTTCTTCAGCACAGTAAGAAAAATAAGAGAAACAAAACAACAACAAAAAAAACCCAACCCTATCAGCACCCATTTGAAGGTATTTTTTGAAAAACATCCTTCTAAGAAGTTCATTTTCTGTAAAAAGTTGTTCAGTCGATTTCAACCTCTAGGTGATTTTCCCTGAGTGTTCTTTCTCTTTCCTCTGTAGTTCAGGAGCAATCCAGTCGTCAGCTCACTGATTCTGCCCAAGCCAAGTACCTCCGTAAGGAACCTGCTTTCTCTCTTCTGCTCAAACAGACACAAGGTAACTAGCTTCTTGTTTTTCCTTTGAACTTTTACAAGGTGCAATCTTTTATGGTATCTGAAATATAGAGTTTGTGTGAAACTCTGATGAATACTTTCAGGGAATGTGCTAAATAACACCTGTGGAAACAAGAATTAGCCCTATGTCAATGAAATTTATACATGTTACTTAATTGCATATTCCTACAGTTATAATTCTTCTTAGTTGTATAATGCTGATTTTTGGAAAAGAGTTATTTTTCCCTCACGCCCTTTAGACTTTGAAATATGTTTTCATTTATAAAATAGTGTCTTAACACCAAAGTACAAAATGTTAGTTGTCATGATGATGTGTGAAGGCAACTAGAGCATGGGAAAGTGATGTCAGATGAGATGTTCTAAGTGTAATATAATACAAAGAGTGACTGAGCCCATTCAGGGATGCAGTCTTAATATATGCCAAAGAAATGCTTTGAAGGAAAAGATTACATCCAAATAAATAAAGATATATTTTGGGATTGCCAAGGTGAGCAACAATATTATGAGAATGTTTGTGAACTATTAGGTAGAAAAGCATGAGTTGTTGAAATTCTTAATTAGATTTAAACTGAGGAGCTTCATAAAAGTGTTTTTTTAATGAAATTAATACGCTTGAAAAGCATCCTTTTATTTAAACTGTTATTAGTCTACTTATTTTATCAATTAACAGTGCAACTAATATAATTTCCTAATCTCCTGGAGTACTAGAAAGGAAAAACGTGGAGTTGCTAAGAAATTGATTAGTAAAATGAAATGTTTGCTAGTTTGAAGGGGCAGTTAAGGAGAAAAGGAAGGGATAAGAATTTCCAAGAATAAGGTAATGGAAAACTATTGTTGTTTTTACTGAATTCACAAATAATAAAGTAGGTAAGAGCTTCACAGCTATTCAGCTCTAGCTATGCTTATCTCCTTCTTCAGACTTGCCAGTACTGCCAACTGTTTTTTTTTCTAAGATAATTGCACTATTGCAATTGGCTATTTTCTGTGTTTTCCTCCATTATTTCTTATTGTTTCATATGTGACAATAAAGTCTAAAAAAGTATAAAACTGAGCTTCTCCCAAAGAATTAAATGAATTGGTTTTATTTACTAGATTAAATTTTAAGTGATACTGTTGGTTACAGCTGATTAGATATAGGATAGGAAAGTAATTAGTTGCATTTACTGTTGTAATTTTACCAAAATTTAGTTATTATTTGCATATAATAGCAATTTATTTATTCAATTTATCTGCTATTATAGTAGAAGCTTCGATTAACATAGAATTTACTGGTAATTTAGAGGATTATAATCATTATAAGATACTGATAAAGAAATTTTCATCTTCTGCAGAAATGTAGGAGATGGATTCATTTCTGGATGAACACAGAATATTTTAATGTTTTTCAAAAGTTGGTTCTGTAGGTGATGTAGTTATGTTTTCTAATTTTAAAGCATACAAATAAATTACTCAAATCTTAAAATACATAATGGATAAAATAGTTTTGCTTTTTAAGCTTCTCATGCAGTTCTATGTGTAAGAGTCTCTTTTTGTCCATTATAGCAATACACTTTAGCATAGATATCATATTAAGCCATACCGTTTTCTATGAAGAAATAATATCCAACTCAAATTAAAGACTTGAGCTGAAAAAGCAAAATGGGGCAGTTACTTGTTTTCAGTTTAATTCAAAAATGTGCCTTATACTGGAATTTTCTTGAATATGCACTCGACTACATCCTTTTGTTGTAGAAATTATTGCAGAAATTGCCGTTACCAGATTGTCTTTTCTCTGCTTAGAGAGTTACTATGGCTCAACAATATTTCTGCGTGATAGAGGTAGAGGATTTAGAACAAAAAGAAGTTGTAACAATTCATCTGGACGTGCTATCATTTTCTATATGTATATTTTATACAGGTAAATATATATATAAGCTGCAACTGTTGTCACAAGATCATTTGTGTTTTTGCACAGAGGCTGTGAGGAACTGCCCAAAGCAATCTAATCCATAAAATACATAGTAAAACTGACAGTGCAATCATTTGGCAGAAATATTACAGCAGCAAAGCAATCTTTATAAATTATGCTCTCCAGTACTCACTCTGTTATACCTTAAATATTTTCTTGATGTAAATCTGCTTTAGGATTCTGCATGCCTCTTTTATTGGGGGATAATAATACTGGTGAAGGCATGCTTGTTTCGCACCTCTTCTCGCTCACAATTCAGGAACAATGGAATCATGTTAAGAATCATTTTTACAGAAAGATTCCATAATTCTTTATCCCTGTACTTAACAGTGTATGAAGTGTGGATACACAGATCCTGGGGTTTAGGTGCAACAAAGATGACATCCTCCCACACTTCCTACAATGAAGAAGGAATGCTGTGAAACCATGCCAGAGTGAAATTTTCTTCTTACTACGCTTGTTGGAATATGATTTTAAATTGCAGTGTGATATTCTGATCAACATTTACATTGCTGGAAAAAAATGCTTGCTGTTCATGCTTTTCTTTTTCACTGACTGGCATTTGAACAGTGCAAAAATTAAAGGGAGAGATACCTTGAGAAAATGAAATAGAGTCTAAGAATCCCCAAATTATTTTTTGTAATACTTAAAAAAAAAAAAAAAAAAAAAAGAAGGTAGCTGTGGTGGAATTGTCACTCTTGGTAGGCTGTCCTTTCCTGCCTGGGCTTCCCAATCAGTGACGACATAACTCTTCTGGACTCGTTGTTACTGTTGGTCAGCAACCCATGCTGTTTTACTACACCTGATCGCATTTCCTATTCAACCTGCTGTCTTAGTGCCTTACGACTTAGCATGTGTGGTACAGGAGTTCTGTAAGCTTGTCTGCTAGGAATATTTTAGCGTAGCATCCAACAGGAATAGTGAACGGGGCAGTTGGCAGAACCTAGTTTCTTAGATCTCTCCACTTTTCAGCACACATTTTAAAGGTTATATTAAGTAATGTCTTTATTTTAGAGATGCCGTGTAATGTGGTCCTCCCTTTTTACTGAGGTCTATGTGATTATCTACTTAATTTCTCCCTCCAAACTTTGGATTACTGTAAAAACATATGTATTTATTAATTCTTCCAAGCACTTAAGAAGGCAAGATAAAATAAATTTGATACATGGTTATGTTGTGAAGGCAATACATTCCAAAAACTGCCTACAGCAATAAGCCACTTTCATGACAATTAAATTTGAGAAATTAAAATTCCGTGTATGCACTTAGAAAGCATGCGACTGTTATAGTTTCATTTTTTATTAGACAGTATTCGAGAAAGCATTTTAGTGTACTTTTGTGCTATGTACATTCCACTATGATTATCAATAATTCAGCTTTCAGAGTGTTTTCAACTAAGAAATGGCATAAATTTTCTTCTGGTCCTCAAATTATTTTTACTAAAATAATAGATTTCAAGACCTAATCCTTTAATTCTGTATTTATTTGCATCTATGCTGTTCTTAAAGTAATTCTACATGTGCAGTTAGTTTATTTCTTGTGATTGCTTTCAAAGACTGAAAGACAGTGAAACTAGCATGCTTGTTTTTCCTCATTTTCTTAGTTCTTTGGAAGACCTCCCCCCTCTCTTTCTCATTTATGATACTTTCATGATCACAAAATGACTAAGAGATGTGGAAGAAAGAGTTGTTAGAAATTATTCTCCATTCTCGCAGACTATTTTGAAATGATATTAGAAAAATTTCTCTTCCGTGCTTCAATTGCATCCTGTAACCATGATTTCATCACCTGCAATGAGCAGAAATAATTTTCTGTCTTCTTAAAACTTGCATCATAGGTTCTATCATTAAGCTGTCAATATTAATATAGTGACTTATGTTGGAAAGGGACATTCAGGCATTTGGAAGACTTGATAACTGTGCACGACCCTAACTCTGCAATATCCTATTTTTGTATTCAGAAACTGTTACAAATAATGAATTTTACTAGAAAGCAAGGTATAGTGGAAAAAATCCAGTAATCTGGAAAAATGAAATCCCTGATTCTTGATGTAGATTTTCTTGATTTTCCATATCACATTCTAGTTAGCTTAACTAACTTCCAGTGTGGAATGAAAGGAAGGTTCTGACCTTTTTGTAGTAGAGTGGCAATAGTAAATAATACTGAATTTGAATGCCCAGTTTAGGCAAATAATTTGCAAATTATGTAAACTCTCTTCATACTTTGGCAAAGCAGTTTGAACTGCAGTTAGGTTCCAGGCTTCTCTGGATCATAGGGATGAGGTTGTATCGTGAATTGTCTCCCTGCTGGCCTTTCTGCTGACCAAATGCCTCCAAAGCATGCTATGTCACAAATAGTTAAGTGTTTCAGCACTGAGCACTGTCTGTGCAAAAGGCTGTTCAATTGGGTGTTAGACCTCGCTCTGGCTCTTCAGACCTATATGCCAGCTGGGTAGTTTCTTAATAGGTGGAAAAAGAATGAGGTCAGAAAGTGATGAGTACACAGAGAGGACAATTTCCCCAAGTCAACCATCTGTAGCTCCCACTGGTACTGTTTCCCAATCTGTGCGTGCATTTAACTCATGGGACTGCAACTTGTCATCGTCTCTTTTTTTTTTTGGTACTTGGCCTGCAACTGCCAGAGACAGAGCTGCATTTAGACATTCCCCCTGGGAATGGCAGCATTTCCTATCTCACAGTGAAAGTTGTTGCAGGCTGACTGAAAGGCACTCCTGGAGTCTGTGCCCATTGCCCAGGCAGTGGTGCCCAGGCAATGCCATCTCTGCTGTTTGTTTCTGTACTGGAAGGACAATGAGAGCATCCCATTGGTCATGCTGATTTGTTTAGGAGAAAAGATGATGAACCCGTCATTTCTTCATGTTCTCAGTAGCATCCTCAGGTAACTTTTCTGTCCGGAGGACACTTTGACCTCTGCAGTTTGTGCGAACAGCTTAATCTTGCTTGGCAGGCACAGAAGCAGCAACTGCATTGACTGAATCTGCTGAGTCCTTTAGGAACCTTGGTAATACAATGCAA